TTAAAGTCACTTTCACCAATCATAATTATACAATAATCTTCTTCATCAAAATTATAGATCTTGTTCTTGATGTCTGACATGAGTTCTTTCAAACTGCTGTTACGTTTCATAAATTGACAGTAGTTAAATTTTTCTTCAAATGTGCGCTCTATAATACTTAGTGTGCCGTTGTAGTTGCAGCCATTTAGAATACATAATTTTCTCTTCTTTATACTATCCTTTTCCTTCTCTAATTTGCTTTCTTGTTTCTTAACGGGATATTTTGTTATGGTTATTTCACTTTGAATAGTAGAATTCTTAATTGACTTCTCACTTGACTGTGAATGTGTACCTTGTTTTTGTTTTCTTTTACTAGGTGTAGTATTTTGTATTTGTTTATTAAGTGATTGGTTGCAGGTGTTATTTGTTAAGGAATAATTTTTTTTCATTAACTCTTCATTGATATGTTTAAGATTACTGTTTTCTGTGGAAAGGCACTCAATCTCCTGACGAGCATTATTTAATTCGGACAAAAGTTCTTTAATTCGTCCTTTCAAGTTAGACACTAATTTATCGCTATTTTCGATCAATACGTTTTTATTCGGTTGTGGCAAATATTGCTTAATGTATTTGCTATATAAGTTTCAGGGATGTTCAATGCATAGTTTTACGAGTATATTTACAGGGAACACATTGTACAACGATATTTTAGTGGATGAGATGTTTCGCTTTTATTTTATAGATAATAATTAATAAGATTTTGTATCAGTTTGTGGCGAATATTGCTTAATGTATTTGCTATATAAGTTTCAGGGATGTTCAATGCATAGTTTTACGAGTATATTTACAGGGAACACATTGTACAACGATATTTTAGTGGATGAGATGTTTCGCTCCTATTTTATAGATAATAAGCAATAAGATTTTGTACGTCGTAAATAAAAATTGTAACAAAATTAGGTAATGTATTTTATTGATGATTCAGATTACCGTTGCAGTTAGGAACAAAGGAGTATAATATAATAGCACTGATAATCCGACGCACGAATAGATAATGACGGTATTCAATGAACAATAGATAAGAACAAGGCAATCTCCTAGCACTTGCACATTCGTCGGCAACGAGGCTGCACTATCGACCTCCGGCCTGAGCAGGGGGGTGATGTGGCGGCGCTGTCGTCGCGCCGCAAGCGATAACACCGGAGCCTAAATTACGTTATCAAAATTCCGAATCATAAACAGTATATATAGAACATCTCCGAACTATCACATGGAGTGTTGGCCGCTCCCCGGGCAGAACACCTTGCCCGGTGGGAGATCTCCCCTTTTCCTTCTACGGCCACAGCTGCAAGAACAAACTACGCTTCTATTGCTAAAGCAAATTTGGGTGTGGCCTTAACGTGTGCACGTTCAGGTCACATAACAAAAGAGGTATCTGATGATCTGATGCCTGGAGTAACCAGGACCCTGATGAGTCGGGCCCAGTTTTTAGACACAAACCCGTTTACACGGAGGGTGTCCTGAAATTGTCGTGCGACGACCAGAAGGCCCTGGACTGGTTGAAGGGGAATATTAATACCCCCGCTGAGTATAAAGAAACAGTCAGAGATACCACAAAGAATTAAATGTGGTACCATATCCCTGATGCCCAAGGTGCCTGAAAGGACTCACGCGACATTGGTCGTGTGCTTGCTTACCAGAACCGCTAGGTAAACATCAGGGACTGGCTGCTACTCAAAGCAGACAAACAGACAGACGGGTGGTTCCTCGTTGTTTCGGTGCTGGAGGATCATATCCCGACCCTGATGAAAGCCGGGCGCCGTCTCGCATGTGTATGTGGGCGGTATACGATTTATTCTAGGGTCGTGGAGGAAAATTCTTTGATTCTCCACCAAGCAAAAAGGCAGAAGAGAAACTGGAACTCATGGATACCGGGGCCATGGGTACCGGTAAATCGGAATCACTGGATGCCAAGTCCAGTGAAAAAACGGCCTGCACAACCGAGCCGTAGCCCCCAGTGGAGACTGAGCTCAGCGGCAGCTCACTGAGCGACGAAGAGGACTGCACTTTGCCGTCCAATTCCGACTCGGTGGCAGAGGATGATAACCGGGATCTGCTGGTAGGTTTAGTTTTTGGCGGGGACGGGGAGGACGCGATTAATGATGGCATGCCCTTTGTCCAGAACTAGCCTAGTGCAGGCCAACCTCCACCACAGTGAAACTACGTCGGCTCAATTACGCAAGTGGTTGGAGGCACAAAGGACGGCCATAGCCCTAATCCAGGAACCATGGGTTGGGGCTGGTAAAATTAAAGGCCTAAACAACCTAAAAGGTTAGTTATTCTACAACTCTGAGCACAAGTCTGGAGCGTGTATTTATACTACTAAAGATATCTGTGCAAAACCTGTTCCAGAGACATGTATGCCGTAGCATTACAAAATACACAGGAGGGAAGATTAGTCGTCGCCTCGGTCTACATGCCTGAGGAAGACACTCCTCCCCCTCATGATCGGGACGAACTCCAACGCGCATCATCCCCTTTGGGGATTGGGAAAACCCAAAGAAGGAGGTAAGGTGTTAGTTGAATATTTATTTAGCACTAACCTTAACCATAATAAACACTGGTTCTGAACCAACTTTCATAAATAAACGCTGTCGCACAATAACCGATCTCACACTTGCAACAAAAGGAGCAGAAACTAATAACGGGATGGCATGTTTTTTTATAGGATAAGGTGACAAAGGAGCACACAGTTCACCTGATGGTAAGTAGTTTTTTTTTATAGAAGAGGGGGGCAAACGAGCATGCGGCTCACCTGATGTTAAGTGACTACCGCCGACCATGATCAACCGCAACACCAGGGGAATTGCAGGTGCGTTGCCGGCCCTTTAAAAAAAAGGAGTAAGCTCTTTTCTTGAAGGTCCCCAGGTCGTATCGGTCTCGAAAAATCGCCGGTGGTAAACTATTCCACAGAGAGGTCGTACGCGAAAGAAAACTCCTTCTGAAAGGTACAGTGGTGGACCGCCAAGAATCCAGATGGTGTTGATGGTATCGGGACGTCTGCCGCGTAGTGCATTCACGAAATTTGGCGGCTGGGATTAATTCGAACAATTTATCAGAGCACTCCCAACGACGACGACGCGATAAAATACGCAAAGAGGAGGAGGAGGAGGAAGAGGTGTGCCGGCATGAAATACTTTCCCGCTCTGCTGAACACGCCAAGCTTTTTAGAAGCCAATATGTTTTATCCGACATAATATCTTACAAAATTTGCAGTAAAAAAATTATGTCCAGATTAAACGCTAAAAGGGTTTCAGTATTTAATCTGGACATAATTTTTTTATACCTAGATGAATTTATAGAAAATAAATTATTTTAAAGGTTGTGTAAACTGCCCCGAACTACGGGTTGCCCACAGGTCAGTCTTCAAAACCAGACCATTGAATATTAAAAAAACGTTGCCACTCGCTCATTACATTAACTTAATCTATGGTCACCCGTCGTTAATGAAATAGATGCTGTGCAAGTTTACTGCTGTGTTTTGTTTTTAGAAAAGAAGTTTCTTGTTTAGTCTTATTGATTTTGTCTACTTTAACGAAATTGAAAACTAATAAAACTGACGAAAGTTTTTGATGAGTTATCCATTTGAGGGCTCCAGTTAGTAGATTTAACGAAGAAAATTAAGAAGCGTGGACGGAGTACAAAGTACAATTCCTGAATTTGTACAATATAACATACAAATATTTAACTATGGTGGCTAGCTCTGTAACATCTGAGACTTCTCAAAAGCTGCACAGGTGTTAATCCCTGCTGGATTATAAGCAGACTACAAGTCAAAAGTGTTAATAAAATTTTGTTTTTACAAGGTTTAGGTAGAAATATTTGGACTATTAAAAATAAAGTTTGTTTATTTCTTAACCCTGTCTGTTTTTACTTATTTAGTCATATTTAATATTCCCTTTTGTTTTTTACATGGAAATTAAAATTACAAGCTAATATATTTTTATATATTTATCAATATTTTTCATCAATATATTGCAAAGCATCAATACAAATTTTACGATATATTATATCGAAAAACATATCGTGGAAACATATTTTACCGTGGTAGAGCCACGCTGCAGCTATATTATAGCTGTAGCACGAATGGGTCAGCTCAACCGGGGCAGGACCACGCTCTTACAGAACACCAGCGTAATGCTGCTGTGTTTCGTATTTTTACTGGAATCCAGGCATTCCATCCTCAGGGGTGACAACGCATTTGCATTTTGATTCTTAATTGTGGATAAATGTGGATGTCTATGGGCCACAGCATCCACTTACCATTAGGTGGACTGTGCGTCCATTTTTCCCCCGTCCATTTGTCACCCAATGCTATAAAAAAAATCGATACCTTTTGTACATGAACATCCCTAGGACTGGGTTGCGCGCGTAAGCTAGATCGTACTTATATAGAAGTGAAGAAGATAGCGGGGTGATATTTAAAGGGCGCTCCCGAATTTGCGCTGTTATTTCTATATCGAGCGGCGCCGCGTACGCACGTATGTATTAGTGAGAAGCAAAACGTAAGCTAGGACTTCAAATAAGGAAAATATATGTAAATTAATACGACTTTCATAAAATAAAGAATAATGGCCAGTAGGGATGAGGCAGAGAAGTTTATAGAAAGAGACTATAAAACGTATAAATATCGCACCTATTTTGCTGAGAATTCGTTCGACATATTTATAGTTTATAAGGCCCAAGCCTTACCAGAAAAAGGAAGAATAAACTATAAATGGTACTCTGCTCCACCCTGCCCTCAGCTGTTTGTTATCTTGTCAGGGAAACAAGACAACAAGCGTTTTTTATTCGTCCTGAAAACCCTGGGAAATCTATCTAAAACAAGTATATAATGACCGACGATTGACAGAATCGTACTGAAACCAGAAATGATTCATTTGTATAATTGACCTGAAAGACCCGGTTCGTACGACGAATCTAAAAATAATAAGGGAGACAGATGTGAGTGCTGGACTAACGTAGATGATGTCGCGCTTGTAGCGCACGTGCAGGTTGTGCAGGAAGGAGTCCTCAGTGAGCGGCGCCAGCAGCACGGCGTCGCCGAGGCCGGCCGGCTCGGGCTCCACCATGCCGCGCCGCGCCTCGCCGCCCTCACCGCGCGGCCCTCGCGCCTCCCATGCCGCTCCTTACACTTACACAACAAATAAACATCATCAGTCATTTTTAATCTTTTATGTACACTCGGTAACTTCAATTCCATGTAATGATTTCTTACATTAACACAAATACTACACATGAAATAAATCTAATTTTAAGGATTTTATCGGGTTTAAATTTAATTAATAAAATTAAATCTAAACCCAAGCATATTAATGCAAGACATCAAGATACTGTAAGCTCGTTTTGCGTAGATTACTAAACAATTTATAATTAAAAGTTGAAGGTTTGCTATTCTTGTTGTATACATTTGGTCTTAATTATAAAAAATAGTTCAAAACAAGAACCCTGCAAGGGCACTGCAAATATTGGCAATCATTAATTATCTTAAATATTAACTTAAATTTTAACAATTAGCTTAAATACAAATGAGATCAGACTATATTATTTATACCTATTTCCTACTCAACAATTAAAAAACTCCTGCAACAAGTAATAACACTTTTTCGATAAATATGTATTAACTTCCTATTTAAACTTTTTTGGCTTTTATGCTTCTGATACATTCTGGTATTTTATTATAGGTTTTTATTGACATTGCATAGGAGCCAGTGTTTTTATATATATATATATACATATATATATATATATATATATATATATATATATATATATATATATATGTTATATATATGTTATACTATATGAATATATGTTATATACTATATGAAACATTGATGTAGCAGTGAATAATTTTATTTTTGGTGGCCTTCATTAACATGGCACCAAGTAGTCAAACACCTCAGTCTCCCCCATAACCACAACTCTCCACCTCCATGACCACAAGCTCTAACAGTGGTAGAGCCACGCGGCAGCTTTGCTGTTGCACGTATGGACCGGCTCAAACCGGGGTGGTACCACGACCTCACAGAATAGTGCAGGTGGCCGGAGGCCCAAACCCCCCCCCCCCCCCCCATCAACATGGTAGCGGAATTAAATGATGATAAACCCCAGGAGGCTGCCCGCGTGTTCTGGGGGGGGGGGGGCAAAATTCCGCTCAAGACTACAACTGCTCGGGGCAAACGGAGCAACAACACCAAGGCGACCCCTGCCACGCTGTCCGTGAATTTCTGCAATATCAGGGGACTTCACTCTAACCTAAACACCGTCCACTACCATCTCGAGACGGCGAGGCCGGCTCCTACCCAGGGTACAAACTGGAACACTCCTTTTGTGTCTCGGGCTGGAGTTTGCGTTTACGTCAGAGAGGACATCTGTTCTCGACGCCTCGGCAGTCTTTAAGGTTCGGACCCGTCCAGCCTTTGGCTACGCGTAGACAGCGACGACCATCCGCGCGTCTACGGGTGCCTCTATAGGTCCCATAGCGGTAATGCCAACAGACCGTCTCTTCGACCACGTCCAAATGGCTACAGATTCGTTGCTACAACAGATCCCCTCCGCAGAGATCGTGATCCTCGGTGACTTTAACGCCCATCACGCCGAATGACTTGGTTCACGTTTAACCGATCATGCGAGATCTGTTCATGATTTTGCCTTGGCATATGGTCTGACACAACTGGTTACTTCACCTACGCGGATTCCAGATGTAGAGGATCATGCACCTTCCCTGTTGGAACTTCTGCTGACCTCTCACCCAGACGGATATCAGATTTCCGTCGATGCCCCTTTAGGCCCCTCGGACCACTGTATTGTCCGGAGTGTGGTGCCACTTACGCTGAAATCGCAGTTGCATTCTGCAGGCTGCCACCGTGTTTGGCACTATAGGTCAGCCGATTGGGATAGGATGCGGTCTTTCTTTGCATCCTACCCTTGGGGGCGGGTTTGCTTCTCGCCGGACGATCCCAACGTTGTTGCGGATTCTGTCACTGATGTACTTCAGGGTATGGAACTTTTCATTCCTTCCTCTGTGGTGCCCATCGGAGGCAAATCTCAGCCATGGTTTGGTCGCTCCTGTAAAATAGCATCATGCTATAAGCAGGAGTGCTACCAAGCCTGGGCTGACGCATCAACGTCCCGGGATGTAAACACCAGCGCTCTAAAAAAGAAGTATAATTCCGCCTCCAGGTCCCTCAAAAGAGTTATTGCCAAGGCAAAGTCAGAGCACATAGGCAAAATTGTCGAGAAACTTCGCCTTCCTTCTGGAGAATTTCTGTCAGCCATCTTTTCCATCTCTGCACAGGGAGGACGACTTACTGGCCCATACCGCAAAGGAGAAAGCCGATCTGCTAAGCTCTTTTGATGACGGGGGAGCTCGCCGCCGACCATCCCGAGATGTGAGTGCTTCATGCCGGAGGTGCGATTCACACAGTGCTCGGTTCGCAAAGCACTGGACATCCACAAGTCGTGTGGGCCTGACGGAATCCCCCCAATTGTGCTGAGGATGTGTGCTGCAGAGTTGGCACCGGTTTTAACGCGTCTTTTCCGGTACTCCTACTCCCTAGGCGTAGTCCCAAAATCATGGAATACGGCTTTCGTCCACCCGATCCCTAAAAAAGGCGACCGCTCAGACCCTTTCAACTACCGGCCTATCGCCATTACCTCCTTGTTCTCCAAAACAATGGAGTCCATTTTAAACTGCTAGCTCATGAGGTACCTTGAAGATCACCAGATGATTAGTGATCGCCAATACGGTTTTCGCCGCGGTTGATCAGCTGGTGATCTTCTGGTCTACCTAACTCATAGATGGGCGGAGCCAGTAGAGTACAAAGGGGAGGCATTGGCCATTAGTTTGGACATTGCGAAGGCCTTCGATTGGGTTTGGCACAAAGCGCTTCTTTCGAAGCTACCTTCCTATAGGCTTCCGGAGAAATTGTGCAATCGATCACCAGCTTTCTTGCAGATCGGAGCATCAAGGACGGTGCAAGCTCTGATTACAAGCCTATCAATGCTGGTGTTCCACAAGGCTGCATGCTACCGCCAACGCTGTTTCTTCTGCATATCAATGATATGTTGCAAACCCTCTAATGCTCTACACCGACCATGCCAACATTTCTCGGGAAAACGACTCCGAGTACCGGGACAAACTTGTGTCAGAAGTCGAGTCTTTGCTGAACAGAGTCTCGGATTGGGGGCGACTAAATCTAGTGCAGTTTAACCCTCAGAAGACACAAGTTTACGCGTTAACCGCTAAAAAGAACCCCTTTATCGTTTCAAGACACTCCCCTTGTTGCCTCAGCCAGTATCGGAGTCCTCGGCGTCGACATATAGAGTGGCGTGCAGTTTCGTGCTAACTTGGAAGAGAAGTTCAAATTGGCCTCTAAAATGCTTGGCGTGCTCAGCAGAGCGGGACAGTATTTCATGCCGGCACACCGCCTGCAACTTTACAAGGCGCAGGTTCGGTCGCACATGGAATACTGTTACCATCTCTGGGCTGGGGCTCCTCAGTACCAGCTCCTTCCACTTAACAGCATCTAGCGCAGAGCAGCTCGAATCGTCAACGACCGAGTGCTTTACAATCGGCTCGATTCACTGGTGCTGTGAAGAGATGTTGCATCTCTTTGCATTTTTTTTCGCATATACCACGGGGAGTGCTCTGAGGAATTGTTCGGATTAATCCCAGCCGCCAAATTTCGCGAACGCACTATGCAGCAAACGTCCCGATACCATCCACACCATCTAGATGCTTGGCGGTCCACCACTGTATGTTTCACAAGGAGTTTTCTTCCGCATACATCCTCTCTGTAGAATAGTTTATCACCGGTGATTTTTCCAGACAGATACGACCTGGGGACCTTGAAGAAAAGAGCTTACTCTTTCTAAAGGGCCAGCAACGCACCTGCAATTCCTTTGGTGTTACTGTTGATCATAGGCGGTGGTAGTCACTTAACATCAGGTGAGCCGCATGCTCATTTGCGCCCTCTTCTATAAAAAAACATGGGTGCTAAAATACTAAAATACTCAAAATGTCAGGAATAAAAAAAATTAAAATTAAACATAATAAAAGCCATAAAATTAATTTTATTCCATGAAGTCTCATGCCCAAGTAAGAGTGACCGAGTGAAACTTGCCTCAGTCAAATACCTATGTGCCTGTGTACTATATGATTTGTAGTATGTCAGAACTTCAAGATGCTTAGTTACAAGTTTTATCGATTGCCTAAACCTATGATTGTGGCCTCTCTGATATGAAGCACCAACAACCAGGAAGTCCGCTGTCTGTGACCATGTTGAGGTGTATCAGATTTAATAGACCATAATTCTTCATTTTAGGATTGTGATTCCTACCAAGGTTGATTCTGAATCTATTGAAATTATAAGTTATCCTAATCTGAAATAAAGAAGATGGCTGCATTCTAACATCTACTTTCTAACAGCCTCATAGAGGGATATGAGGAGGCTAATCGGCGAACTGTATTTAATAGTAATGAAAAGGTCTCTGAATACCTTCACTTACTATTGAAAACATAGTAGCAATATACTATTTCACTCTAGTATCATTTCCAAGCATGGTCCTTCCCCCATCAAATTAATGGTGGATACAAATTAGGATGGATATCTGTTATACACAAGCATGACAGCTTTTTTAAACTAAGAAATATAATTGTTAATTTCAAAATTATTCTACATTAAAAAAATACATTTATCATCACATTTTAAAATAAAAACACGCTACTTAGACAACTTTTATATAAAACAGTTTCTGACTTTGGTTATGGACTACAGCTACAGTATAGTTAGTTTGATAGTCTATATTTGGCAGTTTAACCAATTATTATTAATCTTAAATATTATGAAGGATAATTTCTAAGTAGGAATAAGAAGGTGTCTGTGAATTTCTTGGTCTAATAGTGTAAATAGCATATACAGCTCTTTTCTGTAGTATAAATATATTTTTAATATCAATTACTGATTGGGTGTTTAGAAAATAAAAATTCAATAAAGATATTGAGTTTATATGTATACAATAATATCTAAATAACTCTGCAACATAAGTTATAATTATGTAAATATAA